TTTTTTTTGCTGAGGAAGACTGGCCCTGGGCTAACATCCGTGCCCATCTTCCTGCACTTTATATGGGACGCCGCCACAGCATGGCTTGCCAAGTAGTGCTTCGGTGTGTGCCCGGGGTTCCAAACTGGCGAACCCTGGGCCGCCGCAGTGGAGTACACACACTTAACCGCTTGCGCCACGGGGCCGGCCCCAAAAGTGAGACCATTTTTATAGAGCTGGCAGGTTCTCTGGTCACGGGAAGCCAGCTCTCATGCACACTCCCATCTGGGGTCCTAATCCTCAACATCTCCCTCCCCTCCCAAACTGGATTGTGAGTATTGTGAGGCAGGACCCACTACTGTCTGAACTATCTCTGGGTACCTAACAAAATTAAATGAATGTGGAATTACTGAATGGCTATGCATTTATTAAAGAAGGGGAAAGAGAATGGAATAAAATGAAAGAGAATTGAATACTTCCATCTCAGGTACTTTTATGCAAATGACCACTCATCCCCAAAACAATTGGCAGGTTAGTCTTAAAATTCCCATTTCAAAGATAAGAAAACTGAGGCTATGGAATTTAAACAACTTGCTCAGAGTCATAAGGCTGTTAAATTACTGAAGCAGAACTAGGACTGAAGCCTGCTGGACTCCAAAGCTGGCTCATCCCCCCCCACCCTACTTGACCCTATGGCCGAGGGCAGAAGACACACTCTTGGCCAGCCTGAGCACTCATCTCAACAGCTGTCAGGGTCTAGTTCAGAGCCACTCAGCACCGAGGTTTCTGCTAAAAGACAACAGTGTGCTGGTTCTGAAGGAGCACAAGTCACCCTTAGCCCCCTGATAGCTGAATCCAGGTGTGGTGTGGGTGGAGCCCGCTCCTAGTTCTTCTGTTTCCACAGGAAATCACAAAGTGGCAGCTGAGCAAAGGCTCTGGGAGACCAGTTAAGATGGCAAGGGGTTCAGCAGCCGTGACTCTGACAGTCACACGTTACAGTAGAGAGCTGCACTGCCCCGGGCCATATGCCCAACAAATGGAAATGGAAAAGGGCCTTGCTCTCTAACACTGTCAGGCATGTGAGAGACACCCACAAGGTCCCCACACTGCTCTACACACTGAAGGACCAATGGGTGCCATGGCAGGCATCCGAAAAAAGCCCAGTGAGGCCTAGAGAGGAGGCTTCTCTATCCCGGAGAGCAGGCCACCCTTGAAGATAAAAACCCATCCCAGCACATACACACGTGTGCGCACGTGCACACACTCAGCTGTTAAATCCAAACCTGAAGCATTATGATTTGAAACAGAATCAGCAGCACCACTGTAGGCTGGAGAGTGGAGCCAGCACCTAGCATACGACAACACTTCTGCAGACGTTACCCCCTCTACTGCCCCCATCAACTCCCCGCACAAGGCATTAGTATCTCCATTTTATAGATAAAGAAACTGAGACGTGAAGAGGCACAGTAGCTGCAGAGAGCGATGATGCAGAGCTGCATGCGGGCCCAGGTCCCTCATTAAGCCATGCTGCCCTGTGCTTCACAACTTGTGTGTGAACACCATGTCTGGGGTTTGCTTGCAGGTGCCAAAGGACCCTCACAAGGCCCCTGCATCCCCAGCAGCTCACTATGGGGATGTTTCCGTGGTGAAACAGAAAAACACCCCTCACTTAGATGTTGAAGTGTAGGCGTGAGGAACAATTATTCAGAACGATTATAAAGCATAGGAACCCTACAAAATATGATTTCCACACTCAAGAATCATCATCCAGGGAATAAATATCGCAGTACAAAAGAGTCAAGAAGTCTCCTCCCCCTCGAAAGTGAGTCTAAATTCTGTGCAGGCTTTCCCTACCTGCCAATCACAACAGGCTGGCCCAGCACAGCATCCTACAGACAGACAGGCAACAGGGTTCCAGCTGAGAGGCTGGTGGACACACCATGGTGCCTCCATGAGCCCAGGCTTCTGCCTCCTCCATTCTAACCTTCTCTCACCTGTGACCACACACCCAACTATTTCGGGTGGTCGACGATGATTCAGCAGCTGTTCCAAGTTTCCCCTGAGCAGGCTCCCATCATCAATTTCTAAACTCAAAAGGAAATGGAAAAGGAAAAAAGGAAAGGCACTTGATGACTGGAAGGCCTGAAGCTGTGTGTACAGGAGCTGAAAATGTCAAGGTCTGAGAGTTTTCAACAAAGGAAACCAGAATTATATAAAAGCAACAGCTAATAAAAGAGATTGTCAGATGCTGTGTCTTCCATCTTCCCAGCCATTACAGGAATACAATCATCCACGGAGAGGATCGAAAACCTTTTTCAAAACAGATACAAGTAAGCCTTACGACCGAGCCTCTCTGCTCCCCGTTCTCCAGCTCCTTCCATCCCCGTCTCCCTCACCACCTCCAGTTCCTGGGATGTTAGAAGTGCTTTCCTTTTTTGCATTATCACCAGCAAAATGCTAGTGTTTAAGAGTCAAAAAGGAGATCATGTTTTTGCACCTCCTTCTGGAAGCATTCAATAAGTGTTCATGATCACGTAGGAAAACCTCATTAAAAAAAAAAAGCCTATATCTGCATCTGTAAGAAGTCTAGACTTGACTTTATGTTGAGTGGGGAAGAACAGATGAGAAAGAAGGGCTCGTCCAGGAGAATTTCCTTTCCTTCAACAAAGCAGAGAACTGGTTTTAAGGAGAACTAGAGTAGAGATGAGAGAGGACAGTGACAAGGGGAAGACAGATTTTAGGGGAGGAAAAATGCTGTTAGGCTACTTCCTTTCCACCCCAGACACATGCACACATGCTTCTAGGAGCCAAACCCAGAGAGGGAAGTACAGAGGAGCACAGCAGGAGACTGCAGAATCGCACACAGAACAAAAAAATCTGTGCCTATGAACATATGGGCAACTGTGGTAATTAGAGCTATGGCTGGTGGCATTTTTTACCCTTTTCCAGGATCTCATATCACAATCCTTGTCATTACAGCTACACTCAAACCTGGGCGGGAGGCTGTCCAGGAAACATTTGCTTGTTAAGGGCCACCTCTATAAGCGGCTCAGGGTGCAGTGCCGACCCTCAGGGCTACGGGCTGTCACCGGAGCGCTTCATGTTCACATCACAATTCTGGCCGTCCCCTAAACCCTTGCAGGGGTGGACAGAAGAGTGTCCACGGAGCAGGAGGAACCTCCCTCCTGTCCCCACTGCCTGGAAATCCAGAAACGCACGCTGCTGCCAGGCTCCAGTGTGGCGTGCCACAGGAAAAAACCTCTATGGAAATCAGGCCCCTCTAGCAAACTGTCAATTTCAAAGCTCCAAACCATGACAAAGGATTCTAGAAGATTTGCCTGCAATAAGCTGATGGCTCAGGTTGCTTGGCACACTGTCTCAGGCATGAGGGAGAACAATTTTTTCAACCTCCCAACCATTCCCTCCCACATTTTAAGCCATTTCTTTGAAAAATCTGTCATGATCAACAAATTAAGCCCCCCCAAAAAGTAAGCAAGTTATCAAAAGAATTTTCAGGAGTGATTGTAGGCTTAAAAAAAGGAAAGATGGTGTGTCTTTGAATCTCATTCATTTCAAAGGCTTATCCTTAGAAAAGCAGAGAGTGTGTAGCCATGGTGCACTTTGATCTCCCAACTCCCAGGAGAAAATCAATAATACAACCTTAATATATTTGTATAGCAAGACTTCACGTTGTTATTATTTTTACCCAATGCGGCTTAACTAAAGTGAGAAAGGTAAACTGGGTCCCAGCACCGCCCTGTGGTGGAAGTGAATTTCTTCTAAAATTGAACTATAGCAGAGCCAGCCACATTCAACAAAAAGCGGCCCAATTAAAAACCAATTATCTCTGTGAATGCAACTTGATGAAAGGTTGGGGGTGTGGTGCTCGCTGCAGTGTGCAGGAGGGCGTGTCCGCAGGGAGCTGGCTGCTGGGGTGAATGGGCACTGGAGCCTGTGGGCTCCTTTTCCCATGTGGCGGTGGATTCTGGTCAGGCGCCTTTAGGACCTGGCCCTGAAAAAGGGAGCCAGGCAGGAGACTTACCTTCTTCTCAATGCACCCCAGTTGCTCCTTGTAGCAGGTGTCGCGGCGTCTCAGCTCCGCCTCTCGGCTCTCCAGCTCCCTGGCCTAGTTGGAAGAGAACAAAGCCCATGTTAGCTAGCAGCAGCCTGCTGCGCTGGGGCTGCAGGGAGAAACCAACGGATGACTGCTCATAGCACCATTCTCAATGAGAATGGTAGCCATAGTGAATTGAAGCCTATGCTATATGCCAGACTGCTTACATATCTGGCGTTTAATTTCCACCACATGCCTCCAAGGTAGGGAATTGCTAGAACCATTTCACAGGTGAAAAGCACTAACATTTAGTGAATGCATACGATGTGCCAAGTACTGCTCCAAGTGCTTCCCACAGATTCTTTCACTGGATCCTTACAATTTCTCTAAAAGGTAAGTAGGACTATGATGAGCCCCCATTATAAAGGAAGAAGCAGAAGGGCTAAGTGACTGTCTCAAAGCTCATAGCTACGAGGGAAGAGCTGGGGTTTGAAGCTCAGCAGATGCAGGGCCTGCCCGGGAAGCTGTATTGCCTCGAGGCCACACAGTCTGGAAGGGCCAGAGCTGTTCTCTGGCCATAGAGTCCTCACACCTGGCACCACACCATGCCAACAACTAACATTCAAGAGGCAGGAATGCCAAAATGCCCTTCTGGTGAGGTAAACTCCCTCTTTGGGGGGTCAGGGATCTGAAAGGTGAGCAGTATCAGAACCCCAGAGCTGGAGGGGACAGCTGCTCACTCACCCATCTGATGGAGAATGAACAGAACTGTTGGTGCACACGGCTGAGTACCATGCCCCCCACCAAGGTTACAGTTGGGCTGAGGGGATTGGCTAACCAGGGCAAGTAACCTGGAACCACCCCACCCTTAACTAGCTGGGTGACCTCAAACAATTTCCTAATTCTACCGAGTTCAGCTTGCTCAGGTATAATATATAAAACTGCAACAGCAGCGCCCATCCCACAGGACTGCACAGAAGGTTAAAGGAAACCCCAACAGAAACAGGCAGGATCACAGCAGGCCCCCACAAAAGGACACTTACATCATGACAAAGCAGGAACACACGTCCTCCTCACTGGGATACCCATGTCCCTGGAGCCTCTTAAGACCTTTCTGGGACAAGGCCCCAAGGCTGCCTCTCCCCGGGGGCTCTGAGAACTCACGTGATGCTCGCATGCAGGAATAACATCAGCTGCTAGCCAGCTGCCCCCAGGCTAGGGCCGGGGCCCTAAGGCACCACTCTAGGCTCCTTGTGCCACCTAATTCTCACAACCAAGAGCACAAAGCTAGTCAGTGACTGAAGGGGACCATGCACCTAAGTCGGCGTAACTCCAAGCCCTGAGCTTCTTCCTTCTAACCACACTATGGTGTCAGCACATGGGTTTGAACTGTTCAAAATTAGCGGTTAGGACAAGAATCGATGTCTCTGAAAGCCCATTTCCTTGGCAATGCTACTCCCCTGGCATGAAACCTTTCTGAAGCCCATCACGGGGGTCAGTAATGAAGAGCTGACCACATGACAGCGCCTGAGGAAAGACTTGGATTCAGAGGACCACACTGCTCCCAGGGAAAGGCCAAGCCAGTGGGGCCTGGCGACAGGCTAACCACCTGAGAGCTGAGTTCTAATACCAGCTCAACCACTGAGGGGCCTGCAAGCTTGAGCAAGTTGCCATCCTTTTCTTATTTTCTCCTTACCTATAGAATGCAGAAGAGTAGTATTTTGGCTCCCAAGATGGCTGTAGAATATCTAAAAATGCCAAGAAGGTTTCTGGAATGCCGGTGGAATGCCAACACTTTAGAAAAGCTAAATACAAACAGTGAGACTGAATGCTGGGGATTTCTTGCAGGATTTTTCAAAGCATGATGCTGAGGCAGTGTCCCAAGAATGCAAGTACAGCTAATCTGTGCTGGGCCCTTAGCAGCCCGCACTTAACCATTAACCATCCCTGGTGAAATCAGAAGAGAAGATGATCTGGAACAATGAAGCAGCCAGTACAGACTATCTCCCAGGGCTCAGGACCTGCCATTGATTGGCCAATAGTCCCAGCCAAGCAAGAAGATGACATTTAAAAGCAAAACTGTGGTGAGCCTCTTCCAGTGCCATTCACTAGGGGCCAGTGGGGCAGCAGAAGAGGAGGCTCCTGCATGTCTACCCACCATCAGGATGCCTCCTCTAGGCACAGGCTCCAGAACGCTCAGCCTGTGATTCCTGGGCCTATGCCAGCATGGATGTCTCCATGAGGAATGGGACACAGAGCTAAGGCTCTTGGAAAGGCTCCCCAACCATGGTGGCTTCCTTAGGCTACAGAGACTGTTCACACACGAGAAGAAATATTGAGGATATGGAAGCTTCCTTTCATAGTCACATCAATTTGCAATACAACTAAGCTGTTCTCCAGTAAGGAAGTGATTAACTATTTAGAGAGCATGAGTCTGTCTCATCCACTGGAGCAGAAGCTCTGTGCAAGGAAGGGCCTTGCCCAACTCCGGCATATCCCCAAAGCTTTGGCCTCCATCACAGTGAGGCAGCAAGGTGGGTAGCTCACTGCCTCCGCTCCATCCACTAAAAGGCATCACCCACCCGCTCTGTTCATCTCTGAGATTTATTATGAAATCCAATGACTGACACCAGACAGGAGGTGACATATGAAAGAGGGCTGTAGGAAATGAGTGTGATACAAATGCCCAGATGTCAGTGCCTGCTCCCGAGCAGGCACTTGATGATTTGGTGTTGATGAATGAAGGGGGGCACCAGACGACAGTGGCCACTCTGCATAGCTGCTACAGCCCAATACCTGCTTCCCAGTCCTTGTGAGAGGTCACGCAGCAGGCCTCTCTCAGCACGACCACGGAACTGATAAATTACTGATTCAGTAATTTATCAGAACATCATTGAGTGTCTGCAGTGTGACAGACAATGTCGTAAAGGAGTTGATAACACAAAAGGAAAATGAGAGAGAAAGTTTCTGTTCTCACGGAGCTTAGATCCCAGTGGGAGAGACAAATAAGTGTGCACAGATAAATAAGATAATTTCAGAGAGGGATATGTGCTGGGGAGACCACAGACGGAATAACTTGTGGGGTAGTGGGCTGCTATTTTCTCTAAGGAGATTTCCAAGACAGTCTTCTGGGAAAAAAATACTGAATACAGTTATGTTGTCTCCAATACAGAGGTATATCACCACTATGAAGACCCACTCAGTGGATGACAGTCTTTGAATGGAGAATTGAAAGGAATCTTTAGTGATTTAGTCACGAACTTCCTCCAGTCAAGAGAGCGTAGTGGTTTCACACTTTGATGCATCTACTCTGCTGCAAACACATAGCAAGTGCAGATAAAATATAAGAACAAAAGACCAAAAAGACATGGCCAGGTTCAAAAACAAGATTAAAATGTCCAACAGAACAGAAGAGCAAAGCAGTAGGTAAGGCTGAAGCCACAGGCCTGCTGGGATCTGGGTCACGAGCCAGCAAAAGCAGCCGGAACAAACCCTGCTCCACAGAGGTGGGGACTGGAGCCAGGTTTACCACCCGGAGCCTAGAGCTCCCCCAGAATAAGAAGCTGATGCCAACATTTCCTGAAGACCCCCGTGCAGGGCTATGGCTTTCAGTTTGCTTGACTATGTTCAGCCCAGAGGCCACAGCCTCAGCCCCTCAACTCCCGGGCCACAAATGAACCAAGCACCCCAGGCTCAGGGCCCAACTCCGTGGCACCACCAGGACCACCATGGAGATGGGCCCCAGAAGGCCACAGTCACACCTGGCCCTGCACTTGGGGGCAGGTGTAGGCAGCCATAAAAATGCCAGGCAGGGAGAAAAGGCCATGCAGAAAACAAGAGAGAAAACAAAGCAAAGCAAAACAAGGTAAAAATCAAACCTTCTACTCAAAACAAGCCTACAAACCAAATCCCAAATATGTGAAGAAATGTGACGCTTAGAAATGCTACCAATAATATCAGCAACTGGAATATAAATTCACTCCAGATAAAATTAATTTTATGGGACATTATGACAGGATTTTTAAAAACTTTTTATTATGCAAAAATTAAAACACAAGACAGAATAATATAATAAAACTCCACATAGTTATCACTAAGCTTCAAAAATTATAAACTAAAGGAAATCTTATTTCACCTATACTCCCTACCTTCTCCCTACCCTCAAACCTCTTGCAAATCATTTCACCTGTATAGACTTCTATATACTTCTCTAAAAGATAAGGACTTTTATTTTCCTAAAGAGACCCATGGTACCATTGCATACCAAAAAAAAAAAAAGATTAACATTAATTCCTTAATATCATCAAATATTCAGCCAGTGTTCAAATTTCCAATTGATAAAAGATTTTTTTGTGTGTGTGAGGAAGATTAGCCCTGAGCTAACATCTGCACCAATCCTCCTCTTTTTGCTGAGGAAGACTGGCCCCTAACTAACATCCGTGCCCACCTTCCTCCACTTTATATGGGACACCGCCACAGCATGGCTTGACAAGCGGTGTGTCAGCATGCGCCCAGGATCCAAACTTGCGAAACCCGGGCCTCCGAAGTGGAGCGCGGGGACTTAACCGCTATGCCACCGGGCCGGCCCCAACGATTTTTAAATTGTATATTTAAGGTGTTCAAAAAGAAGAATGAAGGAATAATTTCTAATTAAAAAAGAAGAAGTTATGACCCTGAAACAGGCAAACCTGAAAACAGGGAAATATTATAAATTTAAATTTCTTCAAAATAAAAAATAAAATGGATAAGACAAACCTTAAGCTAGGGGCAATAAGAAAGAAATTAGCAAACTGGAAATTTGAGCCAGAATGTTGCAATGGAAGAGAAAGATAAAAAGACATACTCCACCATGTGTCCAATGGCTATTTCAGAAGAATGGCATGGAAAGGACGGCAGAGGTAAAGGAGGAAGAGAAAGGAGGGAAAAGAGAGGGAGGAGAAGGAGAATAGATATTAAAGCAGAAGGGAAATTAGGAATGGAGGCTAAGGTGAAGATGAGGTGGTGGGAAGGGAGCAAGATGTGGGGAGAAAGGGAAAGAAGGTGGACTGGAGAAAAATGACGGGAGGAGGAGAAG